GTGACAACGTAACTAAAACAGATTTTCTCTTGCAAACAAACTCTACAGGAGCCGTTGTCGAATGAAAACTTTTATTTTGAAATTGAACTCTACACCGCGCAGTGTCGTCATATCCGGGAGGCAGTGCATACAGGCTGCTGAATCACACACAGAAGTACAACATCGTCCCGTTTTTATTAAATATAAACATGCCAATATAATAAACTGTTGGAACTCAGAGACAGTACTTTCCGACAGCTTACCATGGTGAGTATTTCATATTTTATACAAAAGATACATGTTTGAGAGCCTCAAAAGTGACACACATGTGCTAAGCTAATCAGAGCTAATGGTAACTTGGCTAGTGTAGCTGAAGCAGACATCATATAACAAAACCTCTTTATACACATTAATTACAAAACACTCACTTCTAAATCACTGTAACGTTATTCCAAAGATATCAAAAATATAACCTAAGATCTAGTAATACGATTTAGGCCCATCTTTAAGAAAGACATCACATCTTTTGAGAGCTATAACTGTTCAAAGGACGACTCGTAGTTAAGTCATTATTAATTCCCCCTGATTTTATAATTATACTTTACTTTAAGTTATTATTTCTACATGTTATCATTAATTATCAGACATACAAATAGGATGGTCGGTGGTGAATATTAGCATAAAGGAAGTACAGTATTAGACTAGTATTGATTTAATGTACACTTGTTTCTTTATTTCATTTGTAATATTATTTCGTTTGTTCATGGCCCTTGCAAACCCACTGTTATCTCCTATTTTTTTTCTTTACTACAGGGTATTTATTGTAACATCTTATTGTTTTATATTGCGCATGTTTCAGCTTCAGTAATGTGTTATCGTAAAGCAGTGTTTTCCAAAGGTGCTGTACAAATTAAGCTTATTATTATTATTATTAATATTATTATTATTATTATTATTAAGCTCTCATTTACTCTTTTAGTCTCCTTGATTAATTGTTCCCTAACACATTTCTCTGTTTACCATCTTTCGTTTTGTCTGTTTAATAACTGTCTTTTTTTCTTGCAATTAAACAAATAAATAGAAAAAAATGCACAATAATATTGATTCAAGTAGTTGCAAACCTTTATAGCTTAACTATATTTTATATAATACTTCAAATTGATTTAAGAGAAAACTAAATCATGATAACCAGCTTGCATGTATTCATATCCTGGGTATTCTCTCTACATGTTATTTGAACTCTCTTCCTCATGCCTTCCTCCCTGTAGGTCCCTACAGACTTTAAAGCCCTGATCCAGAGGTTTTACCAGCTTCAGTCGGAGCGGGTGGAGACGTATCAGCTCTTTGACGAGTACGTTTGAATCTGACCCACTATTATCATAGATTTCAGGCACATACAAACAAAATTAATTCTACGCTTCATTCATCTCTGCTTTTTTATTTAAAGCTCACCTATTGTGCAAAATCCACTTGTTCATGTCTTTTCTACATCAACATGTGTCCCCTCTGTGTAAAGAGACTCTGAAAGTTTCAGGAAGAAAGATGTTCTCACTTTGTGTCCTGATCCATTTATAGAAAAACCTGTCTGAAAATGAGCTGATCAGATTTTGGCCACTTTATGATGTCATAACGATGTTTTGGCTTGTGTAACCATTAGCCAATCACCAACCAAGGTAACCCCCCACCTTATCACCTGAATCTCCTCCTAGAGCACCATTGTGTTCTTCTTAACCAAATATCTCTCAGAAGGGCGTGGNACCTAGCAAGAGTAAACTGACAGGCTGCTGTGCCGCATCTCACTCAAAACCCACACGACTCAACCCAGCGAAAAATCAGTCTCGTGCGCAGCCTTTCATTCAGCCTTTCATTCAGCCTTTCATTCAGCCTTTCATTCAGCCTTTCATTCAGCCTTTCATTCAGCCTTTCATTCAGCCTTTCATTCAGAATTTCATAGCAAAATAAAAAAATGATATTAAACTAATCTTTCAACATAGTTTAAAACAAAAATAAATATTAGGACAAAGCCCTACAAATAACAACAATAAAAATAAAAATAAAACAATTAAAATGTTGTATTCAGCCCTGATTAAAACAGCGGGCCCAAATCCTGGATGGGCGGGCCCATGACGCCGGGTCTGTACTATGTGTACTATGTTGTGGGGTGTTTGACTTAAACTGGGACCCAATCTTACTGTAAGTGTATTACAACATTAGTTGTCAATTTAAACTTGTTGTCCTACATGTATAAGGTTAAGGCATAGGGTTAAAGTGAAATAAATAGCAGATATTTAACAGCAGACACACAGACAAATACACACAACACGTCTTAGTGCAGATAAACGAAAAAATACATGCAGATGGTTGAGAGGCAACTATGAGATACAATACATTTAAAGGACAGTAGTAATAGTTGGAACAATGACAATACCGTTCTCAACTTGCAGTTTGATGAATGTTATTAAATGTAATTTCATTTGATTAGATAGGTTTTTATTTTTTTTAATAAATAATAATATTACTGTATACAAATTATAACCTACTAAAAAATCTCAAACTCATTCAAAAAGTCACTTAACCCGCCAAAACTAATGTCTTATCAGTCACACTTTAAATATACATCATGTAATGCCTCCTATTACAGGCACTTACGTTTGTGTAATTCCACTGTTCCACCACAAGGAGGCAGACTTCTTGTAAAATACATTTTATAATCTCTCTTTCTTGAATCGTGTTTCCTCACGGTCATGTTAAGGATTCAGCTCAGGTTATTACATTACATTAAAACTACATTCTACTTCTGAAAGGTGTGTGTGTGTGTGTGTGTGTGTGTTATATCATCGTACTGTGACCCCCGCGCTGCTGAAGGCCTCCTCGATGCTCTGCAGGTAGTCCGGC